GGTGGTGGGGGGTGGAATAGAAAAAGGGTAAAAATAAAGGAAAATCCTCTCAGAAATACTTAGGCCATTAGAGAGCATCTTAGCCAGAGTCAGAAGGCAGGGAGAGATAACGTAGAAATGAATGTAGGGAAAAATGAGCCTCTCAACTCTTTTCCAGTTAGAAACCTTCACCAAGAACCTCTTGCCAGCCCAGCACCTCATGTAAAACAGAACATTTCCAAACCTCTTTCATAAACCACTTGGAAATATTGAGGACCTTACACATCCTCCAACAAAAATACCATTTTTTCTGGGAAAAGTATTGATTCATTAATCCTGCAATTCTTACGTGGAAGACTCTTGCACTCCATGAACTGAAGATGGGGCTGCAGTCCTGATTGCTAGCACCCTGCCCCCTGGCTGGAGACGTTTTCCTTGGCTCACCAGCCAGCTGGGAGATCTGCTGCCTTGCGATGCTACCTTGAGAACTCTGCTAACCAGCCAGATCCCAGATTCTCTGAGCTCTCTGCCACAGAGCTCAAAACGAGCCAGCCCAAAGTCCTGAAAATGCTGACTTTTAAACCAATCAAACTGCAGGTGGCAGGAACTTCCAACACACCAGAAGCAGGGTCAGGCCAGGCAAAAATCTCATCTGAGACTTTTCTCTCGCCTCACCCTTGGCTTTGAGTACTCCATCTCTGCATCCCTTATCTCTCGCTTACAACAGAGATGTCCCATCTCCATTGCCTCCTCTACCACAACAGCTTTAGCACCCCAAAGTACCCACTGCAAACACCCTATATCCTCCAGCTCGTACCATGGATCCCCAAATTCCTACCGTTCTTCTTCCTGTACTCTGCAATGTCCTTTCCTTTCTCACACCCTCTCCTATTCACCACACCCCTTTCACTGCTGATCAACACCCCAAATCACAGACACACCAAGCCTATTGCACACTGAACACCTACACAAAGTTATTCTCTGCTGCAGATTTTCAGTACTTTCAGTTTGTGGCAGCTGGTTCAAGATGACCCACTGCTGGCCAACGCCCCCTGCCCCTTCCCGTGCTGGTCAGAAGGGCAACATCAAGGCATGACAGGATGCCAATTCTGTGCCTAGGGCACGGGAGGGTGGTTGAGATGAAAGAACAACATGTTCAACACAACAGGCACAAAACATTATTGCACTGTGGACTGTGTGTTGCAGGGTCTGTGCTCCACTTGGAGCTTCCAGACTGCTGTTCAAGGAAATTGCCATCAATGTCAGCCTCACCACCACTATTAGACATCTCATCCATGTCCAGGCCCAGCTTGAACCCATTTAACTTGTAACAGATAATGAGATAACAGCATGACATGCAGCAGCTGAAGATTATTTAAACACCCATCTGGTACCTGTTATGCAGCATATATCCTATTGTTGTATAGGAAATATATGCCACCTCCCTCCCACATGGAAGGGAGAAGATCTATAGATGTATCTCATGCTACCCCTTCTTTTTGCACAGATGAGGTAATTCTCCTTCTCAGTGCTATTTCTAGCATATCACTTTGCATTTCCCATCTGTGTTTTGGGAGATGCAGTCCCTTCCAAGCTATTGAGACCTTGTGAAAACATACAAGAGCACAATGAAAAATTTGCTCAGGACATCTCACCCCCTTCACACATCAGTCAGAAAAGACTCTGCCATTAAACTGATTCACCCTCTGCAAGACACAGCGTGACATTACCCTTTATCCCAGACAGATTCAGGGGTGACAGTTCACATCTGTGTTTGTTGGACCACACTGATTCTACAGGGGAACAATGAAATACCTGCTGATGCCTGAGAGGTGAGCAAGGCAACCTCCTCACACTTTAATTCAGATGGACAGATGAGAACCTGCAGATCCCAGCTGAATAGCCTGATTTCTTTATCCAAACACTCCACCTTCCTTTGCAGGATGACTTGGCTGTTTTGCTGAAATGGCCCTCAGCTCTATCTCTCTGTGATCCCTCAGCAGCTGTGGGCCGGGTTATTGTGCATCCCAAGAAATCTCGTTTCACAACGCAAGCTGCCAGCTCTGCAGATGGGACTCCACACTTCTCTGTTTTTCTCAAACATGACTCAGTTCTCTGCAAAAGCTGTTCTCCCATGTAAATCCTCGACCAAACCCTGTGTCTGATGCCCCATCTAGTGTTCATCACATACAGATGCAGAGGGAGTCTGTGCAGAGGAAAGAGGTGACTGGAGAATGAATTCCCAGCATTTTCAGCGGTATTAAACCACCTTTATAAAACTTATTTATCTCCAAGAGAGCTCGGAGAGAGCCCAGGCGACATGGAATCCTACATATCCCACTGTCAGGTCCTTCCTCTGGACTCTCTGCAATCTCTGGATGTCCAAGTGGAGATAGCAGCTGGAAAGCCTTGGAAACCCAGCTCCTTCGGTGCTTGGCAGACACCTGGGGAAACGCAGGAATGAAATCCATTTCAGCCTTGGAATGAGGAGCCAAGAGTCTAAGCGGTGCCCACCTCAAGGCTCGATGGCAGCTGCCAGCCTGGATTGATTCTCTTTTGACAGGAAACAGCGGCACTGCTCGGCAGTCGGCAGGACTGAGCGCTCTTGTCAAGACAGTCATCAAACCTTGAGCAGGTATTTTGAATACTCAATAACACTGCTCAGTGTTTTTCCAGTGAGATTTTAAAAATAAAATGGGAATTACTGAAAAGTGCGTTTCACAATTTTTTTTCATAAAAAAAAAAGTGTCAGCTGAGATAACAAACCCTTTTCCGCTGTCTGTCCTTCTTTGCAAATACGCTTTTTTTTTTTTTTTTTTTTTTTGGTGGTGAGGAGATAGTGAAGTTGTCAAAACAAACAAACAAAAAAAATTGCTTTGACGACTTTATTTTGATACAGCAGCTTTCTGACACGTTCAGTGCTGCAAATTGCACAGCCCCAAGCACTGCTACGGAAATCCTCGGGCTGTGTAATGTTGTGTGCACAACCACTCGCAATTAAGCCCAAAACAAGCATCTCTGTGCTCTCCGTTAATCACCAGCCCAATTAGCACCTTGGTTAAGATGCTGAGAGATTCCAGTCCTCCTCCCATCAGAGCTGGGATTGTTCTAGTGAAACTCTCACTCTGCCTATGCAACGCTCTGTTCACGACGCTTTCGGTTCTCCTGGAGCAGCGTGATAAGTCTGTTAACTCATTAACACCTCCAGCTTACAGGAGACTTGGCTTCCAGCCCCTTCAGCAGCCCCAGGCTCCACGCTCCAGGAAGTTTTTCTGCAGTTTCTGTTTTGGTTTCTTTTCCTGCTGAGCCAGGCTGGCGGTCAGCTCCCATCATGAAGCTCCTGAAGGCAACTGTAATCTTTGTTCTTGTGCCCACTCTGACGCCGGCTTTTGACCCTCTTAGCGTTTCAATCGTTGCGGGAAGCGCTGTAATGGCTTGGCATCTCTTCTCCTCCGACTCCTGGCTCAAGTGCCGCTTCCAGGAGTGCTGCAAAAAGAATAGCACTGTGGACTTCAGAGGTAAGGCAGGGGCAAGGACGCTGGGGCCAAGCTGATGCTCCTTTGCACGATGGTGAGAACTTCCTTTGCTGTGTTAAGGGTTACCATCCGCAGCGGCTCTACAAGGCTGCACTAACCTAATATTCCTTATCCCACAAGTTGTATACACTGTCTCTCCGAGCAATTTTCCTTGCTGATTTCTTGGTTTATATTGGCAGAAATGGGGTGTGCTGGTTTGTGGCACCATCAGGGTGGCAAATGCCATTGATAGACCTCATCAATGTATATAAATAACTAAAGCAGGGGTGCCCAGAAGGTGGATTAGGCTCTTCCCGGTGGTGCCAAGGACATGGATCAACAGGCAGGGAACACAGCTTGGGAAAATAACTGCAACTTTACATTTTGATAAACTCTATCTCTGATATGCCTCAATGAACAAAATCTCAGAGAGAAATATGCATTGTTGAGGTTGAACACCTGGAATATAGAAATTATAGACCACAAGGACATTTTGTGGAAACCATTTTGTCAGACACTGGCAAAGTCTCAGTTCCTCCTGCACTGTAAAATCCCTACCAGAGGAAAAAGATACTAAAAAGACTAAAATTATAGAGTAATTAGCAAAAGAAGCGAGAAATCGATAGTCAGGAGAGTAGAATAGTAACTAATGAAAGAAAATCATGTCATTTAGAACTGATGAGCAGTACTTTCTTTGCTTAGTAAAAAGGTACAAATAAATGAAAAAACTTTACGTCTGTGTGGAGGCTGCAATTTGGTCGGCCTGGCCAGAATAAAGTAACGCCTTCCTCGCTAACACTAAAAAGCCGGTATTGGAGGGTTTAATTTCCCCGGCGGATTTGGTAAGCCGGTGACGCGCTGCGGCCCCTTCCATTCTCCCTATCCCGGGATTCGGGATCTCCGCCCTGCCCGTCCCTTGGCCCGGCACAAAGATGGCGGCGGCGGCGGCCCCTCATGGGGCGGGAACGCGCAGGCGCGCTGGGCGCGGCGCGCGCGCTCGG